CCCACGGCTCACCAACCGCCACTCACCCCGGCCCCACCCTGCTGGGCGCCCCAAGCTGCCGCAGACAGCCATCCTTAGGGCAAACTCAAGGGCGCGCCTTTCCTCCCAAGTTGCAGCCCCCTCCTCCGCTCAGGCCCTGCGGGGGAGCCCCGCGCGGCGCACCCCAATTATCGGCCTCCCCCTAAGGAAGTCAAGCGCGACGCCCCAGCGATTACCCGGGTCTCGGGCTCCCGGCTTCCGGGCTCGGCCATGGCCCCCACCGCAAGGTGCCCCCTCCCCGCGCCCGCAGCTGTCCCCTCCTCCCGTCACCAACCTGCGGCCAGCCAAAGGGAGGAGACTCGGGCACAGCCCACCGCCGCGGCCACTCGGAGACGCTGCTGCCCGCGCCTTCCACTGGCGGAGCCTGGGGGACGCCCGCGCCGCCAAGTCCCGCCCTACGCTGCCCTGGTGCCGCCAGGTGTCCCCAGCGGGTTCTCGAGAGTTTGAGAGTAGCTGTGCGCAGGGTGGTCGTCGGGGGCGGGCGCGGCTGGGCGGCGGACAGTGAGGGGCCAAGACCAGCGGCGCGCAGTCCCCCCGCGGGCGGCGGCGCGATGGTTCAGACCGGCCAGGGTGTTACGGGCTCGGGGTTTGAACCTCCAACTTCTCCAGCGGGCAGGGGCAGGGACAGGCGCCACCAGGACGGCGGCGAGGGCGAGTAAGTGCAGCAGGGTGGGGGCGGCGGCCAGCGCCCGGGCCGAACGGGATTGGGCCTCCCACCGGTCGGGCCATCTGCGGCTCAGGGTAGGGTTCCCGTGGCGAGGGCGGGCGCGATGCCCCCGGGAACCCCTGACCCAACTGGGGCAGAGGGCACCGAGCTGGGGCTGGATTCCGGCATCCGGGAGACGGGCGAGACCTGGCTGTGGAGACACTGCAGGCGGGATTGCTAGACAAGAAAAACGGCGGGGGCGTGTGCACGGTCCCAGCGAGCCCTCCCTATCACCCACTCCCCTGCCCAAGAGGCCATCGCCCCCTTCCTGGGTATCTTTTCGCTGCTTTTTTCTAGCAGGATCCGGAGGGCGAGTTTTGCAGCTGCTAGGGCCAACTCCCCCCTGGAGCCCTCCGAAGCAGTTGCCCCACCCCCTTCCGTGCGTGGGAGTCGGGGGGTGAGGATTGGGGGGGGGGCGGAGCAGGCTTTCCTTAGGGAACCTGCAGACCTATCCCATTGCACGCCCCAGCCGCCGGTTTGCTATAAACGCGCCAACCCGAGGTGTTCATTGGGGAAAGAGACTCCTCCTCCCCAGACCCCATTGCGCTGCACACACGGTCCTCATGCTTGGCTTTTTCCGGGTTCCCACCCGCGCCAGGTGACGCGCAGAATTGAAACCATGGTTCATCAGGTGCTCTACCGGGCGTTGGTCTCCACCAAGTGGCTGGCGGAGTCTGTCCGAGCTGGCAAGCTAGGGCCTGGCCTGCGGGTACTGGACGCCTCCTGGTACTCACCGGGCACCCGGGAGGCCCGCAAGGAGTATCTAGAGCGCCATGTGCCGGGCGCCTCCTTCTTTGATATAGAGGAGTGCAAGGATAAGTCGTCACCCTACGAGATGATGTTGCCCAGCGAGGCGGGCTTCGCAGACTACGTGGGCCGCCTGGGCATCAGCAACGACACGCACGTGGTGGTGTATGATGGGGACCACCTGGGCAGCTTCTACGCACCGAGAGTCTGGTGGATGTTCCGTGTGTTTGGCCACCGCACAGTGTCCGTGCTCAATGGCGGCTTCCGGAACTGGCTGAACGAGGGCCACCCAGTGACATCTGAGCCCTCGCGCCCCGAGCCGGCAGTCTTCAAAGCCACACTTGACCGCTCCCTGCTCAAAACCTACGAACAGGTGCTGGAGAACCTTCAATCTAAGAGATTCCAGCTCGTGGATTCAAGGTCCCAAGGGCGGTACCTGGGCACCGAGCCCGAGCCAGATGCCGTAGGTAGGTGTCCCAGTGGGTGGATGGTCGCTGGGAAGTAATGCCCAATGGAGGGGTGGGGAGTAACGATGTATGGGATTATCCTCAGGTTTGGCCCACAGTCCCCCCCATGTGTAGGCCTCAGTGTTGCCATCTGTAAAATGAGAGGATGGAGCCAAACCTAAAGGCTCTGATGTGTGAAGACCTCCATGTGCGTGCGTTCCCATAGCTACGTGCATCCCTATGGGGTGTCATCAACACAGGTGAGTGGTGACATATCCACCCACACCCAGGCACTAGCTTCCCCACGTGCCTAAAGGTATGTTCGTGAGCCCACACATGCATAACTGTACAGAAGCCTCTCAAGGACACCTAGCTTCTCAGGGCCTCTCTGTTCCCCAGAAACCCTTAGAGACATCAACAGTGCCCTTCCCCCGGTACCCCTCTCCCTCCGGATCTCCCAGGCCCCCTGACCTTTCCAAACAGCTGCAGCCTGTCTGCAGAGCTATAATAGCAGCTGCCCTTGCATGCTAAGCACTTAACAGTGCATGTTCTCATCCACCAAGGCTTAATATCCCCATTTTGGAGGGGAGGAAACTGAGATGCCAGGATATTAAATTACTTGCTCAGTTAAGTGGCAGAGTCAGGATTTGAACCTAGCACTGACTAGTTTCAAACAAGTGCTCTGAACCAGGATGCACTGCCATTTTGCCCACCCCCACCTTGCAGGGCCAGGAGGGAGCCCCCTCCACTAGGCATCAGCAGGGAGATGGCGTGTGAGTCCATCTCCTGTGGATGAAGGGGTGGCCTGGAGGATTCTATGCTGCTGGGGGTGGGAGTAGTCTCAGGAGAGGAAATGCCGAGTTTTAGAACCTCCTAACAGAGCAGCGGGCTCACCATTACTCCTGCTGGATGCCCTCCATCCTTTGCCTGGACACCTCTGGTGGCCAGGACCTCACTGCTTGGGGCCTCTCGTGGCCCAGGCTGTCCTGAGTCCTCAGAGCGGCTGGCATCTCCTGGGGCAGTGGCTCTGCCCTCAGCCCCAGTGTGCCTCTGTAGACCCTGACTCTTGTGCAGCATTTTGCCTAACTTGTTGAAAAATATTTCCTGTCTGTGCCTCTGGAAAGAACTCAGTGAAAGCTGTTTCTAACACTCTTAGAGCTGGAGGTTCTGATAGGTCACCTCATCGGGCAGAAGGGAGGCTGGGGTACACAGAGGAAGGGGTGGGTCAAGGTCTCACGGCTAGGCAGAGCCAGGAAAACGCAGGGCTCTGTCCTCCCCGCCGTGGTTGTTTCCAGGCCCCATGTTTTCCTTGTCCGGCTTGCTCGCCGAAGGTGTGGAGTTGAAGATTCAAGTTCATTTGGCACCTTCCAGAGACTCCTGGCACAGAACTCCTACAGCCCCCTCCTGGCCTTGGTTCAAGACGCCTTTTCTCCTTGGGACTTGAGCCACCACTGTGGGAGGAACGTGGAGTTGTTCCCCTTGCTGCTTTCCAGCTTGCCCCGAAGCAACCTGAGAATAAGTGAAGGGCGAGTTTCCAGATGCCAAACCTAGTCTCCTTACTCCCATTTTAGAGATGAGGACACTGAGGCTCAGAGAGGGGGAACTGGCCTGCTGCTGGGGATGCGTCTGGAGGCCCTGAATTCTCAAGTCCCTCCCCCTTTCTGTGGCCCTACTCCCACCTCCTCCAGATCCCATCTGGAGCCCAGCGAGTATGGATCCTAGTTAAGGTCAGCCCTTTTCTTGGTGGTGGGACCTCATTCCCATTGCTCCACTTGTCGGGGTTCCCTTACTATAAAAGGAGAAGAAGAATATCAGCCCTATCCACCTGGGGGCGTATTCATTTAAATGCAGCATTAGTTGGACAGGTATTTGGAGAAGGGCGAGGAACTGTGCGAAGGCCAGGGCCATTCAGAAAGGCATGGAGGGTGTGGCACTTTCCTCCCTCATTTTCTAAGAGGCTTTGACGGCCTCAAGTACAAGACATTTCGGAGACACAAAGGCACACGAGTCTCTGCTGAGTTCATGGGCATCAGCTTGGGGTGGGATCAGGGATGCAGCCGGTGGGCTCTGCAGGCCTGATGTAAAGCCCAGGGTAGGGTGGGTGGCAGGCCCTGGATGTCCCTAGAAGGAGTGACCTCCAGGAGGAGCTGGAAGCCGGACCTTAGAAACCTGACAGCCACTTCCTGCAGACCTTAGACAAGCAACTTCCCCTCTGGCCTCATTTTTGTGCCCCCAGTACCTTTGGTCCTGTTTGTAAACGGGCACAAGGTGAGTCAGACACCTGAGTTTATATCCTGGTGTGGCCTTGAGCACATCCCTCTGAACCGTCCTCCTTCATGAAAGGAACACTGCTCACCTTATAGGAGCTTGGGGGAAGGGAGACAGCAGAGGCGGGAATTGACTCAGCTTAGTGCCTTTATAAACATTATTCTTTTTCTCTCCCCTGGTGGGGTTCGGGGTTGGGGTGGGTAAGTGAGGGTGAAGAAGGACATTGGCTGTTAATGAGCACTTTTATTTGTAGATGGTATATTCTTTATATACTCTCCTTGACACCCTACAGCAGCCCTGCACAGCGAGGCAGGCGGTGGTCAGAACTGGTCCCACTTTGGAGGTGGGGGAAGGGAGCAGAGACTTCTTTCATGAGGCAGAGTGGCCAAGGCTTGACCTCAGTCAGCAGGCATCAAAGTGGGGCTATTTCCCAAGGTCACTGCGTGTAAGCAAACTTGGGGACTGGGAGGATAGGTCCCAGTTCTGGGGTGTTGCTTCATGGGATCCGGTGGCCGCTGTGCCTGTGTCTCTGCCTCACAGGGCTGGGGGCTGCGGTTGGAGGAGCCGGGAGGGTGCTAAGCTGCCTCCCAGTGACCAGGGCTGGGGCTGCCTGCACTGGATTCCTTAGTGTCTTTAGGAAGAAAGCAAGAAACAGCCAAACAGGCTTTCCTGGCCTTGAAAACCCGCACTTATCAGCAGTCTCACCAACTTGACTGGCATCTTTTTGGCCAAAGCTGGAACACAGCGTCCCGACCTCTGTGCAGTTGAGGAATATGAGGGGTCATCTCATCCATCGTTCCCCTGCTTCAGCCCCCTTTTCCAGGGAGGCTCAGGGCGGTCAAAGAACGCAGGCTTTGGGGTCAGGCGGACCTGACTTCACTTCTCACACCTGTGCTGTGTGTCCCGGGACAAGTAACGTCGCCTCTGTGAGCCTGGGCTTTCCGTTAGTGCCGGGAGGATAATCTCCCCAGCTTTGTGAGGGCTAAGGAAGATCAAGTTCTTGGGATAACCCATTGTCTGGGGGCCTAATACCAGAGGTTATGAGCATGGCCGCATGCGCGCTGGGGGGGAAAGGCTGAAGCCGGACTTGGGAGAAGGGCAGCCGGAGCTTCTGGGCCCGCGAGCCTTCCCTCCAGTTGGGTCAGGTTCCTGCTCGTTTAAATTCCTCAGGCAAGCCCTGAGCTCTCGCTGACAGAGATGAAAAGGAGCACCCCCCCCTCCTGATATTGGCCTAGTGTGGGAGGCCAGGGTCTGCAGAACCCCCCCNGGTACAAGTAAGTGCTATGTAAATACTAATGACTGAATATGCTCTTCCCAGGCAATGGGAAGGAACATCCTCATTTTGGTCTGAAACACACACACCCCCCCACACACACACACACACTTCTTCACTCCCAAGAGGTGCCTTTTATATAATCAGAAGAAAACAATGAAGCTGTTTCATGGGAGGGAGGGCCAGGGAGGGGGAGAAACAGCATTCAGAACTCAACAAATGCTTGTGCTTTGAAATGCACTAAATCCAGCCCACTGTGTGGATGCTGAACATTTTTTTTTTTTAAGATTTTATTGGGGAATTGGGGGAGGGGAACAGCGCTGGTGGATCGGGGGAAGGGGAACAGACAAGTGGCTGTTGGTTTGTTCTTCAGTCTAGTTGTGGAGGATGTTGCTTCATTGGCCCAAGTTGGCACCATCATTGTGTTCTTCCCAGGCGAGGCAGATCAGTTGCTGGCCTCTGGACGGGCTGCTCACGCTGGCTGCCGGCTACACACGGTAGCTTACAGCAGCCCACTGCAGCAGGGGACTGCAGCCTACACTGTTGCTGGCGACTCACGGCAGCCCAGCTCCAGGTCGAGCTGTTGCTCACCATCTTAGTGTCACTGGCCCTCATATGTGGGATCCGAACCGAGGCCCTCTGGCATCCCAAGCCAGCTCTTAACCAACGCACCACTCGGCTGGTCCAATGCTAAACATTTTAAAGTTGGGTTTCTTGGCAAAGAACAACACCCTTAAAGCCAACAGATGAATTGTTCCTCATTGGGTCAGCACACATCCGATCTCAGATTAACGTTTCCAGAAAAAAGGTGAAATCTCCACAGGAAGGAATTGCTATCATTTTATAAGTTGGGGAATCTATTAAATTAAAGGAACTCTTGACTTGTGCCAGCAGATCTCGGAATCCTCTTTGGCCTTGGGTGAGAGGAATGCGATGTTGCTGGCAGGATTGCACACCTACTGTGTGCCCAGGGTCACTAACTACAGTAGCCAACTTCCCCACAAGCCTGTGAAGTAGGTGGGGTTATCGCCTCATGTCACGGTTGGGGAAACTGAGGCCAGAGGTGCAGGGCCTGGTTGGCTGCACACTGCCCCAGTGTGTGCCCTGGTCACTGCCATCATGTCCTCTCCCAGTGCTGCCTATCATGGTCCTATCCTGCCCCACAGTCCAGGTTTAATGGGGCGGTGGGGAATTTTGGAGGAAGAGGAGCCTAAAATGATGCCCAAACTCGTCTTGGGCCCCACTCCCAGTGTTCAGTCCGCCATGGTGTGGAGTGGAGTGACCTAGGCATGCTGGGGGCTAGACCAAGGTCTCGGCCCTGCGGGTGACACCAGCCCTGGCTGTGGCCCAGTCGACTTCGCCCCACTTGCTGGCTTTTCTGAAGCCAGATTTAGCAGAAGGGACGCCCTGGGTACAGCGACAGTTCTGGAATGGACCCCAAAGCCAGCCTAGACCCCCATTCTACTTCCATCCAAGTGTCTCAGGTTGCTAGGAGGGGCCTGAGGAGATGGACCACACTGCCCCCAGTCTCACCTGCCTCCAGGGGTGGATGGTGAAATGGGGGGAGTACCAGCACCCGAGATGGGGTGGGCCAGCCTCCGAAGCCAGTGCTTTACTTCTGACAACAGCCCTGACACCTGTGACTTCTCATTCCCATTTACCAATGAGGAAACAGGCGCAGAGAGGTGACGTGACTTGCTTAAGGTCACCCTGCTAGTAAGTGACAGAGCTGGGCTTTGAACGTATGTCTAACAGCAAATCACATGCTCTTTCCACAACTGTGTGCTTAACAGAAAACCCAATGACTCTGTGTAATCCCAGGTCTGCCTTTACCTCCTGGTGTGGCCTTAGTGGGGGGCATGTCATTTTGCAAACCTCAGTGTATTCATCTGTAAACTAGAGTGACATATTCATTAATTATGTGGTTGTCTGTTTAACATCTGTCTTCCTTGCTAGACCATCCTCTCCCAGACAGCCAGGGCGGTTCTTTCCCTTTCACTGCTGTGTTCTCAGCAGTTGACATAGCATGTGGCAACCATATTAATCATCTCATTTAGTCTTCTGAACGGCCCTATGAGATGGGTCTGCACCATTCAGCCCACTTTACAGGTGAGAAAACTGAGGTTCAGAGAAATGAAGCAGTTTGACCAAGGTAAAGGTTAGTGAATGGTAGAGCTGAGACTCATATCCCCACTCTCTCAAGCAGGTGTGATTTTGGACATTCCTACTTCAGGGCATGTTTGCGGGGAGGGGACACTTCGTCTTCAGTCATGAGCATTGACTCGGATCAGGAATAAATCAAGATCCGAGAAGAGCAAAGATGTTATTTTTATTTGCGGAACTCCCTATCCTTATAGCCATGGCCAGGCACGGCCTCCAGGCCCCGCTTCCCGCCCTTCCCGCCCCATGTCTTCCTAACCCTGTCCTTCCCTTTGTCCTCCGCCCCTGTCCAGGGCTGGATCCAGGCCACATCCGAGGCTCGGTCAACATGCCGTTCATGGACTTCCTGACGGAGGACGGCTTCGAGAAGGGCCCAGAGATGCTCCGTGCCATGTTCGAGGCCAAGAAGGTAGACCTCGCAAAGCCCCTCATTGCCACATGCCGGAAGGGTGTCACCGCCTGCCACATTGCCTTGGCCGCCTACCTCTGCGGCAAGCCCGATGTGGCCGTCTATGATGGCTCCTGGTCTGAGTGGTTCCGCCGGGCCCCCCCGGAGACCCGTGTGTCACAGTGGAAGGACGGGAAGGCCTGAGCAGTGGGCCTCTCCTCCACTCACGCGCAACTCCTGCCAGTTTAGTGACCGGCATGACTTGCTGTTGACTCCCACTTCTTCAGCAAAGGAGAGTGACAAGCTTTAGAATTGCTGTGTCAAGCACTCACTTCCCCCAACAACACTGGAATAAACATGGCCTTTTCTGAGTCCCTGAGTCTGCCTGCCTCTCCTTGGCGCCCATTTTCTTTTAAATTTATTTTATTTTATTAGGGAACAGTGTGTTTTTCCAGGACCCATTAGCTCCAAGTCAAGTAGTTTTTCAGTCTTGTTGTGAGGGCGCAGCACAGCGGCCCGTGTGGGGATTGAACCGGCAACCTTGGTGTTATGAGCACTGTGCTCTAACCACCTGAGCTAACCGGCCACCCCAAGCGCCCATTCTTGCCCCAGATTTCCATGTCCTTTGGATTCCCTAGAATCCACCAAGGGAAGAAACCTCCGTAGCAATGGCCAGCTGAGGAAGTCAGTCACACTGAGGACACCACTTTACTATTTTGTTTTGGCAAAGGCAGCCGCCCGCTGTCCCATGTCAGGTGGAGAATGCTGGGACCTACCTGGGAGGGGTTCCAGGAAGCCAGAGAGAAGTGAAACCATAGCCAGCCAGGCACTGACCCCTCCTGCGATAGGCCCAGCCCTCTGTTTAGGGGGGAAGAGGATTGGGGGCAGCTGGTCTCCCAGATGAGTGTTCAAAGAGCTGTCACACAACACAGGCCCTGGGGCATCAGTAGAGGTGATGCTCAGAAGCAGGCCAAAGGCGGGTGGTGCCACCTTGGGTGACCTTCCTAGCTCAGAATAAGACCCTCTGGAGAGCAATGGGGGACGGGATGGGGAAGCAGCTTCAATCCCCGGGAGATCTTAGAGCTCTGGCAGCGTGAACCGGAAGCTGCAGTAGAAGACCTAGTGGACGGGGCCCATGTGGCTGGATTCCCAGTTTTCCAGAAACAGGCTCTCTACACCCTCCTTTGGGGCTATGGGATGAGTCCAGGCCCCACCTACTGGGGGTTCCCTGCTCCCGGCTGTCCAATTTTGAAAGAAGTTCTGTGGGTAAAATGCTCTCAAACATCCCATGTTACACAGAACTCGTTCGTGAGAGGAAGAGTCAATTGATACAACAAACTTCATTGCCTTGTATTAAAAAATTGCCACAGCCGCCCAACCTTCAGTAACTACCACCCTGGTCAGTCAGCAGCCATCAACATCGAGGCAAGGCCCTCCACCAGCAAAAGGATTATGACTTGCTGAAGACTCAGATGATGGTTAGTATTTTTTTTTTTAGCAATAAAGTATTTTTTAATTAAGGTGTGTGCATTTTTTTTTAAACATAATGCCATTGTGCAGTTAATAGACTACAATATAGTGTAAACATAATTTTTATATGCACTGGGAAACCAAACAATTCATGTGACTTGCTTTATTGCAATAGTCGCTTTATTGCAGTGGCCTGGAACCGAACCTGCAGTATCCCCAAATTTGCCTGTACTGTTATGTGCCAATAGGTAATTAACAAAGGGGACGCGCGCACAATCAGGAGACCAATGAGGAGGCAAGTGTGTTAACGCAGGCATGAGGTGGTGGTGGTTTGGGGTGGGGGCCAGGGGGAGATGTGGAGGTGGATAAAGGGGTCCGAGTCTGGAGTACTTTGAAGGATTTGCTGAAGGATCCCCTATGGGGTTAACTTAGAGTTACAGGGGACATCTCTCTGTGCCAGGCCGTGTTCTAGAACAGGGGTCGGCAAACTGCGGCTCGTGAGCCATATGCGGCTCTTTGGGTACGTTCCGTCTTGACAGTTTGCCGACCCCTGGAAGAACCAATCCTGTCCCTCTCAACAATTTAAAAATTATTTGAGAGCCATAAATATATTTTTGCATAATCACCGTTATGTGAATAATATCCTGTACAAATTTTATAAGTGAAACTATGATAGTTTTATTTTCATTTTCAATTTTACTTCAGAGTCACAGTTCGTGAACCACAGTTTGCTGACCCCTGGCGGCTCTTCCGTCTCAAAAGTTTGCCGACCCCTGTTCTAGACATTCACAAAAATGACTTTGTTCAGTCCTCACTCTCACCATTGGAGGTGGGTTATATCTGTTTCACATAGGAGGAAAGTTAGCTAAAGAACTTGGCCAAAGTCGCTCTTCCGATAAGTGGCAGGCCCAGACTCTGAAGACCCCAAATGTAATCACAATGCTCTCTGCCTCCTGGGGAGACCCTGAAAAGCGGGGCATGCAGGAGGCATTCCCTATACCCCACCCCTGCTGAGCAACAGCCAAACAAGACAGCTGCTGCAGGCACCAACTGCAGAAGTCACTGAACTTTATTGGATCTCCTGTAGCCCTTAAGAGGATTCAAGAGGAGGAGAGTAGACCTTCAGTGTCCCGCCTCTGCTTTAATTTTACTCCTTGGTCAACTGATCCCTTCGCGTCCAGCTCAGAGAGCTCCAGGTGAACCTTTCCCTCCCCTCCCCACTCCCTTTGACCTACGTTTATGCTCACAAATACATCCATGCTTTTACTCTTTGAGTCCTTTCTAAACTATTAAACTCCTACACGTCCTTCAAAATCCAGATTAAATGGCCCTTCTGTGAGCTCTGCCTTCTTCTTTCCTAGACAGAACTAATCACTCTGTCCACTTAATCCTTTGTAATCCCAAGAACGTCCTCTGTGTCTGGCACACAACCTGGCACATGGTGGGTGCTCAGGGGACAGTTTGCCCTCTCAGTGCTGGCTTTCCATGGCCTCTGTTCCCTAGAGTGGGCCCATCAGCCCTCTGAGGTAACAGAGCCCTGTGTATAGTGTCGCCATGGCGACTCCAGTGAACAGCAAGGGAGGGCTGCTCTCTAGCAACCATCCACTGGCCTCTGCCCGCAGCTGTGCAGTGCAGATCTACACTCCTGGGCTTCAGCACACACCAGAGCGGTTCACGTGTTTTCTGACATGAAAGAGAGTGGCGAGGTCAGGCAGGGACTTGCAGGGTGGGCCAGGAGTCTCTCATAACACAGATTGCATCTTCTTTCTCCCCGTTCAGAGCTGCCTGTGAGTGAAGAGCGCCGGGACTGCAACTGGGCCTCTTTTTCCTCCCTTCTTGACCAACATCTTTCGGGACCTTCTCTCCAGGTCAGAAACGGGCAGTGAGGCCACACTTCTGCCCAAACCCATCCAGGCTGCTCTGGACTGGGGGGGCCACTGGGGCAGATGGGGGGGCTGCTGTGGGTACCTCAGGTGGGTGGCTAGGGATGGGGAGTGGGGACAGGGGCAGAAAACTCACTTGAAGGAGGTAGAAGATGTGAGGGTTGGTTTCAACACCACTTGGGTGAGGTCCTATTTCTTTCCCGAGCCTCAGTTTCTCCATCTGTCAAGAGGGTGAGGTAATACTTTCTCTGAACAGCTTACTGAGTCCTTGTGAAGATAGACTAATCTGCTAAACTGCGTAACAAATCACCCCAACATGTAGTGGCTTAAGACAACAGCATGTATTATCTCACAGTTCCTGGGGGTCAGGAATACATATGCGGGTGCAATGGGTGCTCTGTCTCAGGGTCTCTCACAGACTGTGCTCAACATGCTGGCCGGGGCTTCAGCCCCATCTCAAGGCTCAATTAGAGAAGGACGTCTTTCCAAGGCCACTCACGTGGTGGAATTACTGAACTGAGGGCCTCGGTTCCTCACGAGTGGCCACCCTTTATGTCTTGCCCTGCAGGCCTCTCCAGACACTTACAATATGGAAGCTGCTTCCATCAGAGTGACTGAGCCAGAGAGAGTATGAACAAGACACAGTCACAGTCTTTTATAACCTCCTTTTGGAAGTAGCACCATCACTTTTGCCATATTCTCTCGGTTAGTGGTTAGAAGCAAGTCAATAAATCCAGCCCACACTCGGGCAGGGGTGGCAGGGGAAGGCGCAGTGGCGTTACTCAAGTGGGTGAATACCAAGGAACAGGGGTCACTGGAGCCATGTCAATCGCCCGTCTCTAGCCCCAGATGACACACGTCCTTTCCACATGCAAAATACATTCACCCTTTCCCAAGATCTCCAAAAGCCTCATCCCATTATAGCATCACTTTAAAAGCTAGAATCTGGCCCTATAAATCAGGCCCATGTATGGATGAGGCTCCTCGGGTGTTGCTTCTTTCTTGAGTTCAGTCCTTCTCCATCAGTTGATCTGTGAAAATCATCTGCCTGCCCTGACCACACCTGGCATACAATGGTGCGGCAGCCATGGGGTAAGAGCTGCAGACATTCCTATTCAACAACGAGGAAAATGGAGACACAAAGGAGTCACTGGTCCATAGCAATTCTGAAATCCAGCCAGGCAAATGTTGGGCTTTCCTTATTAGGCTTCAAGCTGTGGAAATAATTCTCCATGGCTCTCAGCTCTGCCCTATGAATCCTTGCTTCCCCTCTCTAAGTTACCGCCCTCCCCGCTTTTTAAAATGTCGTGCATGTTTGCGACTGAGTGATTTTCTCAGACTACTATCTGCCAGTAGAATTTGAGAGTCCACTCTTTTCATTTTGTACAATTTTGTGTCCCTTTCACTCCAGGCTGGTAGTATTTTTGCCAATACAGTTTTCTCAAACACTGTGACACTCCAGAGAGAAAAGTCCCCTCCACTGGCCCTCCAGCTGAGAGATGGCACTCAAACATCCGAAGACGCCCTATTATTCCATTAAGAGAATCTGTGAAGCGTATTTTTCATCTCTTTTAAGGACCCATTGTGTGACTGGATAATATTCTGATCCTTTCATCTTTCTAAGATTTTAACAAAAAGCGGTACATTTTCAGGATAGAATGCTCTGAAGCCATTTCTTAATTTTAGCATCTTTTGGCATCTGAAGAGGATGAGAATTTTCAAAACTACTAAGTCCTGCCTCCTGTTTTTTTAACAGTCCTTCCTTCTCTCTCTCCTCTCACATTTCACTACAAGCAGCAAGAAGAAACCAGGAGGCACCTTCAGCACTTAGCTTGGACATCTCCTTTGCTAGGTCACCCAGTTAGTCACACGCTCTGCGTTCCACAAAACTGGCAGCGACAGTGTCACTAAGTTTCTGTCACTACATAACAAGGACACTTCTTCTCCAGGTTCTAATAACATGCCCCTCACTTCCTCTGGTGCCTTCACTGGCAGCACCCTCCAAGTCCATATTTCTACTAATAGTCTGTTTAAGGCAATTTAGACATTTTCTGTCATGTTTCTCAAAATCCTTCCAGGCTCCACCTACTGCTTGGTTCCAAAGCCACTCCCACGTTTTTAGGTATTTGTTACAGCAGCGCCCCATCCCTGGTAACCAAATATATATTTGGTATATATATTTACTGCATAACAAATTACCACAAAGCTTAGCAGTTTAATACTGTGTGCCTTAAAAAGGAACAAATTTATGATCTCACTGTTTCTAAGGGTCAGGATCCTGGGTGTGGCTTGGCTGGGTCTCTAGCTCATCCCACAGGCTGTAATTAATGTGTCAGCAGGGCTGTGTTCTTACATCAAGGCTCAAATGGGGAAGCACCCACTCCCAAGCTCATTCAGGTGGTAAGATTCACTCAGTTCTTGGATGCCTGTTGGACTAAGAGTCTTTGTTCCTTATGAGCTGTTAGCCAGGAGCCTGCTCGGTTCTTTATCCCCTGAGCCTCTCCATAGGGCAGCTTTAAAACATGGCAGCTGCTTCCATCAGAGCCAGCAAGCCAAGGAAAGCCAGAGGAGGAGTGTGAACAAGACCGAAGTCACTAATCTAGTCTTGCAAGTGACATCCTCTTTTTGTCATACTCTTTTGATCCAGAAGCAAGTTGCTCAGTCCAGCCCATACTCAAGAGGGCGTTTTGCACAGTGTGTGAATACCAGGGCATAGGGATCGTTGGCAGTCACAGCAGAAGTGACACAGTCACCCAACAGTTATTAAGGGTGTTTTGCTTGGTGATTTTTCAAGAGAACAAAACTAATCCAGTTCTTAAGCTGATGTGAGTTTACCAGCAGAACAACCTGCTGGTGACCTAAGACAAGTCACTCTGCCTCTCTGGGCCTCAGTTTCTTTATCAATAAAATGAAGGGGTTGGATTAACTCATCTCAAAGCTCCCTTCCGGCTCTGCCTTGCGGCTTTTATGCTTCCCTTCTTACAAAGGTACTTACCACTTAGGTTCTAGGGACCGAATTCCCATTATGCGATAAATTGTTTTATCTTATTTATATTCCAAAATCCACAAAAACCTTAAAACACACACGTGATAAGAGACTATGAATAAGAAAAGAGATCACCTAGGAAAAAGGAACATAAACCTGAAAGGTGCAGAAGCTTTTCAAGATGCCAGGATTGTCCCAAAGGCCTGCCTTGGGAGGGGAGACTGAGGTGATGCCAAAGCAGGTTCCTGTTCTCGGTTCTCCTCCATGTTGGCCATGTTGGTCCCTCTCCCTTGCGCTTGAAGGGCCAGCTGGTAAGATGGACAAAATCCTATTTGCAGGGAGGCAAATAGTCACCAGGATGGGGTGCTTGGGACAATGTACCCCACAGCAGGGGAGTGTTAAGTGGTGCAGAAGGGGGCAGACCCCCGGACTGTTTGAGAAAGGCCTTTGAGGCACTGGTGTGTGTGTGTGTGTGTGTGTGTGTGTGTGTGTGTGTGTGTGTGTGTGTGTGTGTGGTGGTGGTGGTGAGGGGTGGTGACCGGGGATTTCCAGAAAGGGTAGAGCCTGCTGGGGTCCAGGAGGCAGGCCCAGTGCCAGGGGTGGTGGGTGGATAGGGCAGGGGGCTCCTTGAATGCCAGAGGGCACTGGAGGCAGCATGGAAAGACCTCTGGTCAGGGGCTGGGCAGATGGCCACAGGGCTCCCTGTTCCGCCCTTGGCTTATCCCCATTTATGAAGCCTCTGTGTCATCTGAGACAACGACGCAGTGTTTCCTTGTTTACAGGACTAAGCTTGAGCAAGAGTCCATGGAGCTGGGCCACCGAGCAGGTAGGACGGGCTGACCAGGGACACGCTGGCCAGGGACACACAGTGCACACCCAGGGCTTTGGGAGGGACTTCCTGGGGCAGCAGGAATAACCCCTTTCCCTCTCCCTCAGTCTGGCTCTGGCTTCCAGACCCTCTCTGTACGGCCCTGACCTCCTCAGGGCATTCTGTTTGAAGACGGAATGAAAAAGGGAGGGAGAGCAATACTGCTGAGCCCCTCCCATGTGACAGGCCTGGGGATTCTGACCCTGTGCAGTCACATCCTCAGGGCTCAGAGGGGACACATCAGACCTTTGTATGCACCATGTCCACGTAAGAAACATCCAAATCTGTGGAGAATTTTTATAAGAGTTATTTGAGCCAAACTGACGACTTATGCTGGGGAGCAAGATCTCAAATGCTCTGGAGAATAACAGCTTTGCAGTTTCTCACATGCATTTGAGATTAAGGAGGGCAGTGAGGACAATTACACGTACATGAACGTTGGAGAAAGTAAGACGGATTGGATTACTGGGTAGTTATATCATTTGCTGTCTTGAGGGCGGTTACCTCTCAGAAGGAGGGGCCTGAAAGGGGGCATTTCAAAGGTATGTGAACTTAGATGCTCAGAAGCAATGGACAGGCCGCTTAAGGCAAAAGTAAGCCTTTTACTAAAGAAGTTATATGCTTGGGGCGTGACCTGCCCAGTTAGGAATTTAGGATCAGATCACCTTGTGAGGTTACTTTCCATAGAAGCCCTTTTTTCATCCGCAACCAGAGGGGCACACACTGACGTGAGGGATGGGGAGGCCTGGGCTCTGTGGGTGAGGGGTACATGTGGGTCAGGAGTGAGCCAAGCCCAGGGAGTGGTGTGGCCCAAGGAGGGCAGGAGTGTTCCAAACACAGGGAACAGCGCCGGCCTGGAGGTGAGAGAGGGCTGGTGCTTTGAAAGAAATTCAATATAGCTGGAAGGCAGAAGAGGGAAGTCGGAGAGAGGCCAGGCCTGGTCCTGGGCCAGGTCCTCCAGGCTAGAGGCTCTGCCCTGAGCCCAGGGAGAAGGGTTTCAATGCAGTTGTGACTGGATCAGATCAGCTATGAGGAAGGCTGGCAGATGAGATGTGGGAGACAGGCCGTCCAGGGAGGGTAGGGCGGGACTCCTGCTGGAAGCTTTCTTCAAAGACCTGAATGACCCAGAGGCCTTGTTAACACCAGGATTCCAGGCCTCTCCCATTGACACCCTGATACAGCAGCTCTGGCAAAGGCCCAGGAATCTGTATTCTTTAACCTGTTCTCCTGGGAATTCTGATAAGTGGCCAAACTTGGAAAACTCTGATGACTCCTCATTTGATCCTCACAATAGCAAGTGAAATAGGGTTTACTCTGCCCATTTTAGAGCTGAAGGAATGGAGTGGAGGAAAAGTGGAGTTGCAATGAGATTCCTGCAATGCCAGCTGTAGACGTTCATTCATTCATTCAATAAACATTTAACTCCAAGAGGACAGGGGTTGTTGGCCCGTTTAGCTCACTCTCTGTGTGTCCCCAGTGCCTGGCACAGCACCTGCCACACACCTGAACTGGTGAATATATTGGCTCTCTGAGTCAGGGGATACAGACACTGTTCTGGCCATGAAAGCACTCGTAACCCAAGAGCTGGCCAAGGGTGAGCTGGTAACTCCACAGAATGTGCTGAGCGAAGGCAGTAGGAGCACAGCCTGGGAGAAACAGGGGCCACTGCCCTGGAGTCAAGCCCCGAATGCTGGGGGACCCCAGGAGGAGCCCATCTCTGCTCCAGGCCTAGTCTTTCACGAGCAGGAGGAGGGACCCCCGTTGAACAGGTGGGTGCTGGGCACTCTTCAAGCTCTCCGCCTCCACTCTTTTGAGAAGTCCCCATCCTGGAAGCCTTAGTTTTCCCCAGAGGCACCCCTTTGCCTACCTAGCTGCCTACTTGTTGGGGCAGAACCCAGGACCAAGGGAGGGTCTCATCTTAGACTCGATGAGGTTCATGCAGTGTGACTCTGGGTCTCACACCCCTGCAGCCACCTACTCATTCCTGTAAGAAAGGTCCAAACCTGTAGAGGATTTTTATGAGTTTATCTGAGCCAAACTGACAACATCTGCAGGGGAGCAAGATCTCAAATGCTCTGGAGAGTGACAGTTTTGCATTTATTTTATGCATTTGAAATTAAGAAGGGAACATAGGAAAATTGCATGGGAGAAAACAAGGTGGGGATGGGATTACAGGACAGTTAACAAGATTATGTGCTCTCTTGAGGGTTAATATCCTCTTTGAGGGGTATTACTTCTGGTATTTGAAACGCGTGGTAACCTAGATACATGAGAACAATGGACAGAGCTGGCATAAAACCTTTTACTAAAGAAGTTACAGGCCTGGACAGAGCTAGCATAAAACCTTTTACTAAAGAAGTTACAGGCCTGGGCCGTGACTACCCGCCATGACCTGCCTGGTTAGGGTTTATGATCAGATCACCCTGTGAGGTTACTTTCCACAGAACTTTTGTTTTTCGTCCACATTCCCTCACTCACGAATCGACTTCACCTGTATCTTGGATGCACAGGGCTCTCTGGGGGTGCTGTGGGAGACCCAGGACTGACTCACCCACGGACCCCACCTCAATGACCCCCATTTAGGATGGGGGGAAACAAGGTGGTTTGTAGCTCACGACGATGGAGAAAGGGAAGACCCAGGGTCAGGAGAGATGCATAGAGTATGTTGGGGACAGAGTTGTAAAGTAGAGAGGAAGGAGGTGTCCCTGCAGCTTGGGGTGGGTGTCAAGGAGGACTTCCGGGTGGGGCTGCATTGAAAAAAATGGTAGAATTTTGATTTAGGGAAAAGGAAGGAGTGGGCTTCTAGATAGCAGAACCAGCCCGGGCCAATGCTGGGAGGTGGGACATCCCACGGCGTGTAGGGAAGAAGCAGCACTTTCTTTGGCTGGAGGCAGAGAAGAGGAGGAGACATCACAGGCAGGGAGCAGGAGACCCCCTGGAACTGAGGGGCAGGGGCAGGAATGCAGGTGGGAAGCGGGGAGGGGAGAGGTGCTGTGAGAGAGCAGGGGAGAGTAGAGGAGGGAAGTGAAGGTCGGGGGAGCAGCTGTAAATGGGGAGCCAAGACAAAGGCCCAGCTCCAGCTCTGGTCCCTTCTAGCCCTGTGACTTGGCCGGACCAAGTAATGCCTTATGCAGCTTCCAGGACTGCTGGCTTTCTTCACTAGATTGCTGGGGGAGGAGGGGGTTTAAGGTGGGAAAGAGAACTAACCAAATGGAGCCAGAGACATTAAAGCACAGAGCAGTCAAATTCCTTGCTGAAGGCCACACAGCTAGGCTGCAAGGATGGGCCGGCATGGGCTGTCAAAAACCAGGTGGGGTGACTGTGTCCTGTGGGAGGCTTAGCAGCTGAACTTTCTCTCTTTGTCTCCCCCAATTTCTCACCCATGCTTCTGGCTCCCATGACTTCTCTGTTCCCATCCCTTTTTCTGCTCTGGATCTCTGGGGCTCTGTGTCTGTGCCCCCTCCCCACCCCCACTGCTGGCTGCTTTCCTGCCTTCCACTCTCTACATTTGTCTGTCTCCTTCTCTCCCTCCTCCTCTCTTCCTCCTGTTCAGGTGAAACCACTTTGACCAGGGCCCATCTGAACAATAAGGAAGGCCAGCAGGACACGGACCCCAGGAGAGCTGCCCACAGTCCCTTGGATACCTCCAAGTTCAAGTGCCAAGCTCCAGTCTCTCCGCAGCCGTCCCTGCACCAGGGAGGCAGCCCCCTGGGGCATGCTCACCTGGAGGGGGTCCGGTGTCCACCCCCCACAGCTGTCAGCAGGGACTCCCTTGGGATGGACCCACGGCCTGGGTCCCTGAAGAACGGGGGCTATAGACCCCCCTCAATGGAGAGCAGGGCTCCCTTCCGAGAGGGGGCTCCGCCATGCCAGGGACTGAAGGAAAGCCCCAATTCGGGGGCCCAGGGCCAGAGGAGCAGTGTCATTCCTGACAACATTCGCCACAAGTTTGGGAGCAACGTGGTGGACCAGCTGGTCTCTGAGGAGCAGGTGTCAGCACAGGAGGCTAAGGGCGGCAGGAGGGTTATGCACGGAGACTTATAATGAGGACCCCAAAGGAACCTGCTCTTGACAACAGAGTCCCTGTAATAATATCACCAGAAAGTAGTGTTCACTGAGCACTTGCTGTGTGCCAGGCACTGTGCACAATTTAAACTCTTCACATATAACAACTCCTTTTATCTTCCCAACGAGGAAGGTGCTATTATCCTCATCGTATGGATAAGGAGTCCAAGGTCAAGGAAGGGTTATGTAAGTTAACCCAATTTTGTGTAGGGTGAAGACACAAACTGGGCCAGCAGATCCTGAATCCTGGCCCTTAAAGACTTGGCAGTTATAAGTCTTATGTTTGAATTGGATGCTTTCAACCCGCACAAATCTAAAGAAGGCAGCATTGAATGGAGCTATTCCAGCTCCTCAGCCATGGGGTTGGTTGAAAGGCTGCAGGCTAAGGGTGGTGAGGGCAGGGTCAGAGGGAGGGGAGTTAGAGTGGAGATAGGTGGCTTGACCCTGCCCCTCTCTCCTGTGTCTCTTCTCTGTCGATTCCCATTCAGGCTCGAAAGGCCATTGGTGAAGCCTTTGAGGGTCAGAAGAGGGCAAGCTCGCGGCCCAGCAGGACCCAGAGTTCTGTGGAAATCGCCTCCATCTTCTCTGACTACTACGATTTGGGCTACAACATGCGGTCAAACTTGTTTCAAGGTCAGGTCAACGGACAAAGGTGGGGGCTGTGACTACCCGTAGTCTCCAAGGCATTGGGCAGGGAAGGCCTGTGGGGTGTCCACCCCTTCCTGAGCCTCTATGGATAAGACCCGAGGACACATCCCCAGGGACACTCATTCATGGCCATCAAGGGCCTTTTCTTTGCCAGGCCCTGTGCCGAGTGCTGGGAATGCCGGTTCCCTGGCAAGTCTGTCCTCGTCGTGCAGATGATCCAGCCAGTTGGCAGCCAGCCTCTACCCTCCCTGAACACCCCTGGTGTCCTAAACAGCCAGGAGGAGACCCAGGCACTGTTGGCCTGGGCATCTTTGGTATCAGTGACATCAGGTTTCTGGTTCAAAGCTCAGCTCAGCCACTCACTGGGTGTGGCCTCAGGCAGGGTTCTTAACTTCTCTGAGCCTCAGTCACCTTCTTCTCCATACAATGGGGACAGTGTGGCAATATGGCCCTCATTGGGTTGTTGGCGGGACTCTCTGAAATGCTGCATGAAGGCAATTGGCCTGTGGCATGCAGTGAGTGCCCAGTAGCTGGCAGGCTGGTATTTTTCCTTTCCAGAGCCTGGTGGTGGCACCACCTGGGGAAAAGGGTGGGTTGGAGACTCCAACACCGACAGCGTCCTACGGGTCAGACCTGTTTGTTATGGGGGGGGGGGGGAGGGGGGTGGGGGGAAGAAAGCATTAGCTCCATTTCACAGACGGGTCGGAAACAATTTGCCCAGGACTCTCAGTAATAGAAGGTAGACGTGAAGCTCAAATCCGGGTTTTTCTTCTGTCTCTAAACCCCAGTCTTTCCTCAGCACCGGGTCACCTCCCTAGCTATGACCCTGCTCCCAGGTGATGACTGAACTGCTCACATGGGGGTCCATGGCCAGCTTGCGGGGGCTGCTCTCAGCCCTCATATTCCCGTTCAGCCTCACTGCAAAAATTCAAGGTTTTCTGCTCCTCTCCTCCCACCTCACTCCAGGCCCTCTCCAGTGCCCCTGGGGCCTGGCTCACGGCCTCACCTGGCTCACATCCCCGTTACCTGAGGAACCTGACAGCCACTGGAACTTTCTGGGTTTTTCTTTGAGAGAAGAGGTGGTGCTGGGGGAGGGAAGAAAGACTATAGCTCAGATTGTCTTTTGTTCTGGGCCTCAGGAATTGGCCTTTCACTTGTCATTTTAACATTTATCATGCAATAGTTTTATCATGCAATAGTTCTTCCACACAACTTTATATGGTAATGTCTACATAAATGTAAAAAAAAAAAAGAATGTAAAAAAATCTGTGTACCTGTCATCGAACCTGAGAAACACGACTGTGTGTCGCACCCGCTCGTAAGAGTCGATGGTTAGATTTTTCTGGACTGATGGGTTGGTATCATGATGCCATCTTACAACAGGCCATAGAGGTAGTTACACACCAGACGCTGGCAAGCACTGTGAATTAGGATGTCACCTTTGGCATGCTATTGTCAGTGTGCGTCACCTGTGCCTGCTCTCCATTTGCCCCTGCCCCGGGTAGCCTCTGCACTTGCTGTTCCAGGTTGGTGAGGCTCCTGTGGTTGGACACAAGTGAAGGAGAGGACATCAGAAAAGAAACAGGACAGGTGGGGAAGGCCATGGAAAGTCTCTTCTCTTAGTGAGATGGGAAGCCCAAGGGAGGACCTTTAAGCAGGAGGACGGCATTGTCTCACTCAGATTCAAGGATTGCTCCAGTTGCTGTGTTGAGAATAGATGTGGGGGAGCTGGGACAGAAACAGGGAAAACAGTGTGGAGGTGTCTGCAAAAATCCAGGGGGGACAGGCGGTGGTGGCTTGGTCTCGGGAACAGGGCTGGTGCTCTCTGCACAGCTCTGGAGGGCACCGTCGTGCAACATGGTGGCCCAGGGAGGTGATGGTGAAGGTGGCCTGAGGGAGTAGGATTCTGGGTATTTGTGTAAGGCAGAGCCAACCGAACAGGCTAATCAATGGATTTGGGGGCTGTGAGAGAGGAATTAAGGTTAATGTCAAGGTTTTTAACCTGAACAAATGGAAGGGTGGAATTGCCATTTACTGAGAGAAAGTTCCAGGAGGAGTGGGTTGAAGAAATCCTATGCCATGCTGAATCCTAAAGACAATCTTTTTTTTTTTTTTTTTTTTT